ATTGGATTACATAATAATTTCAGAAATGTCGACAAAATCATTCAAAGTCCAACAAGTACAGAGTTATACGGGCATAAATGATACCTCATGCCCAGCATGCCCACCACAAAACACACATATCCCCTAAAACATTTCCCTAAACACATTGCATGAGTGAGGCAGGCCAAAATAATTTCTACACACATTGCGCGAGTGAGAGAGGCAGAAAGAAAAGTAAGGCAGGCAGGAAGGAGGCGGCGTTGGAGAACGGCGGGCACCAGACCGGTCTGCATCAGCTTCAAGTGTAAAAAACAACGTTGGACAGGACTGCAAGAAGGTGAATAAAATGACACACAAAAAGGGTAGACAGGGTAGGCAAGACTTTTACTGGTGGGTCTGTCCTGGATGAGACGTGCTCTATCTTGTCATTGAGTTATACTGTATTTGCATGGGAGCAATCAGTTTCCAGGATGTGGCATTTTTATTTATTGATGGTTTACGGTTTCTGATCTCTAAAGACTGTGATTTTCATCTGTGCTGCATCCTTTAAGTTTGTGTGCAGTAGTTTGAGTTTGAGCATGTCGTTTGTTATCTCAGTGTCTGGGTGAGCATCTCTCATGTGTTCCCCGAAATGTGTGCCAGGTCGTTTGTGTCTAGCGTCCCCTAAATGTTCCATAAATCTGGTTCTGATACGTCTTCGTGTTTCTCCAATGTAGATAGCTGAACATAATGTGCATGTGATGTGGTATACTACGTTTTTAAGGTGACATTTCCCAACTGCACCTGCTTGACAAGCGTGACAGGTTGTACGATTTCCCCTTGGGCATGGTGCTTGATCCAATCCTGATCTAATGAGCGTGTTGGCTAGTGTTTTGCCCCCCTTCCATGCTATTTTGACATTAAGTTCAGATTTCTTTGTTATGTTGTTGATTTTTCTCGATAGGTCTTCGTCAATGTATGGAAGGGATATGTAATTTACTTTGGGTTTGGTCCGTGGGTGCTGTGTTTGGTTTCGAGTTTTCCTTTGGATGTTAGTGATCATTTGCTCTGGATATCCATTCGAGAGGAAAATATCTTTTATTTTCTTGATGCCTCTGTTCTTTGCTGACGTGTTTGAACCCAAACGTAGGGCTCGAATGGTTTGTGAGTGGATAACTGCGCGTTTAGTTTGCATGGGATGTGCTGACTTGAAGTGAACGATAATAGGAGCGGCCATGGGCTTGACATAAAGCTCTGTTGTGAAGTTCCCAGCTCCGTCTAAGGTAAGTAACGTATCCAGAAAAGGAATGTGTTGCTCTGGTGATTGATCAGATCTTTCAATGCTGAATTTCAGGGAGGGGTGAAAATCGTTGATGAATTCAAAATAATCGTCAAGAGCCTTTGGTCCGTGAGTCCATATGCCTAATATATCATCTATATAACGCATGTACATGACTGGCTGTGGTCTGTTTACTGATAACATTGCAGTTTCTACTGAATGCATAAATAATATAGCTAAGGGTGGAGCCATTCTATTGCCCATGGCTATGCCATTGGTCTGTCTGTAGAATTTGGCTCCGAATCTGACGAAGTTGTTTTTGAGGCAGTGCTCTAACAATGATTTGATGTCAGCTATGTTCAAGTCAAAGAGGTTTACTTTGTTTATATGCAGTTGAATCATTTTGATGGTAGCTTCTATCGCCTCCGCTGTAGGTATATTACCGTATAAGTTGTTGCCACCAGTAAAAGTCTTGCCTACCCTGTCTACCCTTTTTGTGTGTCATTTTATTCACCTTCTTGCAGTCCTGTCCAACGTTGTTTTTTACACTTGAAGCTGATGCAGACCGGTCTGGTGCCCGCCGTTCTCCAACGCCGCCTCCTTCCTGCCTGCCTTACTTTTCTTTCTGCCTCTCTCACTCGCGCAATGTGTGTAGAAATTATTTTGGCCTGCCTCACTCATGCAATGTGTTTAGGGAAATGTTTTAGGGGATATGTGTGTTTTGTGGTGGGCATGCTGGGCATGAGGTATCATTTATGCCCGTATAACTCTGTACTTGTTGGACTTTGAATGATTTTGTCGACATTTCTGAAATTATTATGTAATCCAATGTTTCTTTATCAGAGGAGGGATATTCAACTGTGCTCGTTTTGTGTGTTTGCTTGTCAACAAAAATATTTTTTAAACATCAGTGCATGAAAAAGTGTCGAACACGAAATATCGCACATATATTCTTTTCCATTTCTTTTGTCTATTATACAATGAGCCAAAGGCTATTACTTGCTTATCTTTTGCTAAAAATTGAGTTTGAAAATTTGACGCCATCAATTTTGAACTATTTTTTCCGCTATAAAGTGGCCAAAAAAAGAGTTTTCGATCTTAAGTTTGATGTGTAAATAGAAGTCGGTAGAGGCTATCACATATATTCCGTTTTGTTTTTAAATCGAAAAACTTTTTGGATTTGTCGGCAATTATATTCAAAAAAATATTTTTCTTATTTTTTGGGGTCAAAATTAAAAAAAAATCAAAATTTCGAGATAGCAGTTTTATAGCCCTAATAATTCTACACCTTTTATGTTTTGAACGTTTTTCTATATTTTCAATGATAAAGGCCTGACAGCTCTTCCCGCGAAACTTTTTTTTGGGCCGAAAACGGCAGAACATGACGCCACTCTGACGTCATTTGCGGACAACCTATCATAGCTTTGGAATTTTCTTTGGTCACAATGAGTAAAATTGATGTCCGGGAGGGTACTGAAAGTTTGGTGACGATCGGCGAAGCGGTTCTTGAGATATATTGAAAAGTCTGGAGGGGGGGGCAAAAAATAGCCCCCCCCAACCAGGGCGCGGGTTAAAAGCAAAACCATGGCAAAACCACATAGCGGTGACAAGTTCAGATTCCATTTCCAATTTTCTTAATTTCATTCAAGGCAATGCTGAAGCAGCGGTTATTTTTTATTGCCCTGTTCTTGATGTTCTTGATCTTCATATCTAGCCTACCGACATTGCTTCATAGTGGTCCAGATCGCTACGAAAACAAAATATCCGGCATTGTCATAGGGTAGCCTGGGGCAAGACGCCCCAGATAATTTATTTTGCTACATAACTTTTGTCCCACATCACCTGGAAGGCCAAATTTGTGCTCAATGCGTTCTTTGGACATTTTACTTTAAATTCCACCCCTCAAATTCATTCACTTATGATCGGACTCCTAGCTAGGAAGTGATTTGTGAAGCAACTGCAAATAGGGCATTTTGCCCCAACCCCAGGGCAAAACGCCCCACGGCCTGGGGCAAGAAGCCCCATACTCTAGATTAAAGATTTAACATGCTAATTGACTTAAATCTTATATGAGAGGTCTGTTAGACCTTGGGAAGCACGGCACTGAAGCTAGGTCCTTCCACCGTATCAGGTGTTCAGCTATGACACTATTGTATGAGCAGGTTTTTCACCTGCCTCATAAGGCCAAATAATACATTATTGCAATGGAAATGTTAACAAAATGCTTCCTTTGCCATCCAGTTGCTGAGAAAAGTACATATAAATGCATAGAAACTTACTGTTAGCCAGCTACCGAACATTAGGAAGTGGGTAGTCCGAACAACACATGAGGTAAAACGCCCCATGGGGCGTTTTGCCCCCCGACCTACTGGGGCGTTTTACCCCATCACGTAGTTCGGTCAGAGAACAACGCCTTGCACTCCAGCAAGGCATAATTTAACACGAACCAAGCCGGCATTATAAGCGTTAGATAAAGTTGTTCAAAATACATAAAAGTCGTTAACCTGATGTGAACCATAAAAGAACGCCATGATGCAAAAGCTGACAACAAAACATAAAAATCACTCCAAAAACACTTTTTTGGCTATATCTCCCTAAAGAGTCATCACAATTTCTTTCCAGTCTGCTCATATAATGATCATATAGTGCACGTTTTATAGAAGAGATGATGTTTCTCCAGAACCTTGCCAGTTCCGAGAAACATCGGTGAGGCGTTTTACCTCGGCGGGGCGACTTGCCCCGGTCTACCCTACTGCCTTTTGGTACCGCGCATGACCAACAATGCACGTCATTATGCATTGAGGCCTTGCAAGGACTGCACGTTTAATTACACTATTATTCAGTCCGACGAACGGTTTCATTATTTGACTGCATCTTCTCCGGACTGTCAAGTCAGACAATGAAGACATTGTGACACGTAGCACGCGCCGCCCTTTTTTTGTAGCGCGCCAGTTCAGGTAACGGTGGCCTGTTGATGAACCTGTTTGACCCAAGCATGTAGCTCTTTTGGAGGCGCCGTGTATGTAACGTGATCCAACAGCTGTAGTTGACCTTTCAACAGTGTTATTGACGATTATCCGGTGTTACGTAAATGTCTTCAATGATTTAATATTCCTGCATTTATTATTTATTGCAAACATCGCAAGTATTTACGCAAGTGACTTTTTTATCGGTTACCCAAATCTATATTCACATTTGGTGTGCTGTTTCAGCGATGTAGCCACATTAGTGCTGTAGCTACAATCCGCTGTAGCCACAGTCCGCTGTAGCCACAGTCCGCTGTAGCCACAGTCCGCTGTAGTCACAGTCCGCCGCTGTAGCCATAGTCCGCTGTAGTCACAGTCCGCCGCTGTAGCCACAGTCCGCTGTAGTCACAGTCCGGCGCTGTAGCCACAGTCCGCTGTAGGCATAGTCCGCTGTAGTCACAGGCCGCCGGTGTAGCCACAGGCCGCCGGTGTAGCCACAGTCCGCTGTAGGCACAGTCCGCTGTGGTCACAGTCCGCTGTAGTCACAGTCCGCTGTAGGCACAGTCCGCTGTGGTCACAGTCCGCTGTAGTCACAGGCCGCCGGTGTAGTCACAGTCCGCTGTAGGCACAGTCCGCTGTGGTCACAGTCCGCTGTAGTCACAGGCCGCCGGTGTAGTCACAGTCCGCTCTCCGTGACGCCTGATTCCTGCCAGTTGACACTATAATAGTTATGCCTGTCATTGAGGTGTATCGCCCCCCCCCCCCCAGCCCATCTGTTGATCTGTGTTTGTTTCCAGTGCGTTTCTGCTGGAGCTGCAGAGGTGCCGAGCCGACCCTCTGAGGGTGGCCAAGTGTTTTGTCGCCCACCAGCTGAGATTCGACGTGTACACCGACTACTGCACGCACTATCCCAGGTGAGCCTGCCAGACTCTACCGCAGAGCACATGCTATCCCAGGATGAGCCGTTGTGCCAGCTGCGCAGCATGCATGTTCCCAGGCAAGCAGAAGTGCCGGACTGTCATAATATGAATTCACAATGCTACGTCTCTGGAATTGGTAACCATGGTGCTGAATAGTTGGTTGCCGCCCTATAAACAATTGTTTGTCCTTTTTTATTTATTTTCATCCGCGATCCAAATAGGGCCGAATTTATCGTGCCACAACGCTTCAGTCGACGGTGTAGGCGGCGAGCAGAGCTTTCCCTATTTGCTGAATTCTGCAGAGCGCGGCTGGAGGACAAATGCAGCGCAGCCTTCCGTCAGAATTTTACCGAGCCGGTGGATCGGCCCGTCAGCTATACCTAAACACAACAAGGACAAAGAGCGCCCTTGAGGCTCGAGTAGTCTGCTGGGGGCATCGGTGAGCGGGCTCCGAATGTCGCGTGTAGTAGCGCGCCAAATATCGGCGCCATTCTGAGTCAGCGCGGACGGGAGGATTCCGGTCAGTTATTCCACCGATATGTGAGGAATGACAGGTAGTATGATCAGAGCTATTCTAAGATGACGATATGAACTGTCAGGAGCCTTATTTAGAAGACATTGCGACTTATTCGCCAATGTTCGGCTAAAATATTACCTAAACGTTGAATGAAGTTGATGCGGCGTAACGTCCGTATACGTGTTATGAATGCTAAATAATGCGAACGCAGCATTCGAATAAGATATAAGGGAAAATATGGCTATAGCATGGAATTTGTCCTTATTGTGCAAAATTTAAAATAAAATGATTGAATAGCATACTGCGATTCTGGTATTGTCTTTCTTGAAAAATGTTTTGTTGAGAAGAAAAGTGCACTGTGATGAGAGGACCTCGAGAGAGTCCGAATACCATATAAAAGCCCTTACTAAACACGCGCACTCTGTCGGCCGTGAACACCGTGCCCGCAGTCCAGCCGTGGATTGGATACCACCGCAGTTCGTCGGCCGCCGGCGGGTCGACTTTCGCTCTGCTCGTGAAATGAATAGTAAGCGATCGTCGATCGAACTACCCGCGGGCTGCCGGCGTCCCGGTCCAATGTGCGCCAATCACGCCTCCAATTTGGCAATCTTGCTCCCTTCTTCGCTATTTCCACCGCTGATCTGCACCGTTTAGCGGTGAAAAGGGTGCTTTCTAGATGGATTTCTGGCCGTCTCGGACTGGTGAGTGCGCTCGTTTCTGCCGCCGGCCGTGGCATTGCTTTCCTCTTTCTCTCTGGTGGTTAGAGTGATGTGATTATCAGAGGGATGTGATAATCAGAGTGACGTGGTGATCAGGGTGATGATAAAGCACCAGAGGCAGAGTGATCAGATGATTCATCATACACTCTCGTCAGTGATGTGCTGATTGGAGTGAAGTGTTGATCGGGGTGAAATACTCGTATGATCAGACCGGACCGCCACAAGAGCCGCCTGTTCGCTAATGCTTCTGCGTTTCACGAGACAAAGGTTTTTTGTCTACAGAGGTGTGGGCCAATGTGTGATGGAATCGTCATCAGTAGCGCCCTGCCAGAAGTTGCCGGTTAAAGGGAATAGTTCACCTTTCCGAAAGCAGTTTTTTTTGCAATGGGTTTATGATTTTTATGCTCAAAATGATCAGCAAAGAAAATAAAACTTTTTGATAAAAAAATATTTTCTTTATTTTAATATAGGAAGAACAAATATGTAGAATAGCTATACTAGGTAGATTCTATATTACCTAAATATTGTTTGACGCTGAGGCTTATTACGCGTTGACCAATCATGAGTAGTTTAAACCCATTGGTTGTAAGTAGCATGCTAAGGCTGAGGCTGAGGTGGCTGCATTCTGGGTATTTCTTCATTAGGACACCACTTTCCTCTTTAGGACACTCTTTTCGGAACGAGGCATGGAATATCTTTGCCTAGGGTGATCGTTGGGCCGTAAAAGCTTCTTATTTGTGCTGGTCTCAACTCAAGCTACAAAACTGCTATTCCAGTTCAAAACCCCATGTTAAAATTGAACTATTTCCTTTAAACCGCGCCCCACTGGGGTCTGCGTATAACACACCCTACTGGGGGGGGGGGGGGGGGGAGGTGCTCTTCATAGCCCCCCTCCTAACTCCGAAACTACTGGGCCGATCGTCAAAATTCAAACGGCGTCTGATAGCCCCGGAAAAACTGTCGAACGAATCCTAATTTTATTGACCTCGAGGTCACCGATGACGTCACAGGTCAGGTCAAAGTAAAAATTATTAGCATTTTGACTTGTTCAATTTTGGGCTCTGGCCGCCGTCTTACAAGTCAGATCAGGTTCATTTTTGGTTTACACACTCGTGAACAGATGCTTTAGATACCCTGAGGGTACCATACTTGCACTTTGATTTTCAGGTCAGGGTCAGTCAGGTCATCACAGGTCACGGAAATATTATATCATGCGTCGGTCATGTGACACATGTTTTATGGTCCATTTAGGCCATAGATTTCGAATTTGATGTCGTTTGTGTCATTCGAGGTAATTTTGAGTTGAATTTAGTTTAGGTCAGGTCACTTTCAGGTAAAAAAAGGTCAAATTTTGAAGTTTACATTTTCAACAAAGAAATTGTCTATGGGATGCAGTTTGAGCTCAGGAACACGATGGTGCTATTTATATTGGTGTACGATGTCAAATACATACTTAAAAGTTTATTTGAAAAAAATATAAATGTGAATCTTTTGCAACCAGTATAACGCCTTTTGGGGCGACTAACGGAGCGAGCGAGAGGGTGAGCCTTGCACGTGCGAAATTGCGAGGGGGTACCTCCAACTGGCTTGTGCACGGCACCCTACTAACCGGTCTCTAGCGATTTGCCAAATTTGGGCACAATCGGCCCAGCCGTTCTCGAGATCTGGAAGCGGCACCCTGCACGTGCGCACGTGCAAAATGGGTCCCAACTGACTTTTGCACGGCACCCTACTAACCGGTCCCTAACTGTGTACCAAATTTGAGCGCAATGGGTCCAGCCGTTCTCGAGATCTGGAAACGACCCCTGCACGTGCGCACGTGCAGCAGCACCCCAACTCTGGCACATGGATATGCAGTGCCTAGCTCGGGTGCCTTCCTACATGCCAACTTCAGCGCAATCGGCCAAGTAGTTAACGAGATATTGCAACAATTACAAAACTGACACCTCTTCGTTTTGCACGTGGCACGTGCATAAGGGGGCACCCACATGCATCGGGAATAGTCCAATACTTGGTAGAAGGAATGAAGCTACCCTACAAAAATTACCGCATATAAATCGGTCAAGTGGTTGCTGAGATATAAGCCTCGCAAAAGCGTCCGCACGGCCGGCCGGCCGGCCGGCCGGCCGCTCATACTCAGAAATTTCCGTTAATTTAAGGAAAGACTCCGCTCGCTTCGCTCGCTCCGTAAAAATGCGTATAACTTGGCCATTTTTGAAGATAGTTAGCTAAAACTTGCTACAGTAAGTCATAAGAATGTCTTCTATCACATATATTCCGGTTTTTAAAGTCAAAAAGTTTTTGAAAAAAATATTTAAGTGTAAATTTTGAATTTTATTATATATAATTCTCAAAATTTTCAAAATTTTGAAAATCTGAGATAACAGTTTGATAGCACAGTCTATTCTGAGTCCTCTCATGCAAAGAAATTGGATCTAGCTTAAAAACTGAGCTCTTGGGAGCGATTGCCGTGGTCCAATGTTTTGCGTCGAAATCGGCCGAACATGACGTCACTCTGACGTCATTTCCGGCTGACCTATGGTAGCTACGAAGTTCATATTTTGACACAAGGTGTCAAATTGATGCAGCCGAAGGTATGAAAGTTTGACGTCGATACTTCAAGCGGTTTGGAAGTTATTTCGGAAAAACGGGGCGGGGGGTATGAATAGCCCCCCCCCCCCCGAGGGGCGCGGGTTAACAATGGTGTCGCCTGCAAACCAGCCCATCGCTCCTCCCGCCCGACTGCCCTGTGTTCCGTGTGTTACCCCACCCTGCCTGGCCGACGCCGGCTCCGACACCCATGCTGGCCATGCAACTGTCCGGAAGCCTCGGTCCGCTATGCGCACGGTGTCACTGCGGCTGACCTGGCTCGTACAGTCGGGGATGGTTAGTGCTCCAGCAGAGCCCAGCCACCGTGGGACCGCACGGACCACCGGTGACCACCAGCGGACCTCAGACCGCCGACCGACCCCAGACCGCTGACGGACCCCAGACCACCGACTGACCCCCAGACCACCGACTGACCCCCAGACCACCGACTGACCTCAGCTGTCATCCGTTTGCCGGTACGCCAACGGATGTTATGTTGAGGGACAAGACTACAACGGGATTAGGACGGATCTCGAATAGGACGTACCAAGCCAATAATACTGACGCCATTTATCGAATTGGCTGCTGAACGACCTTCATTACATACGAAAATAAGAACAACTAAATTTAAGTAGGTACACAAAATACCTAAATAGAACTTGAGGTAGCGAAAGGCGGACGCGCAAAATTTTGCAGAACAGAAGTGCACATCGTCTGTGTGACTGCTATTTTTGCAATGATAATGATTTAAAGTATCATACATACTTAAATTCAGTGCTAATTACGAGCGAGCGAGCGCAGCGAGCGAAGCGAAGTCTTTTCAATATAACGGAAAAATCTCAGTATGAGCGGCCCGGCCCGGCCCGGCCTGTAACGCTTTTGAGAGGCTTATATCTCAGCGACCTCTGGACCGATTGGCCTGCGGTCTTTTTTGCTGGGTAGCCCCATCCCTTCTGCCCCGTAATTGACTACTTTTGATACATCTCAGTGACCGTCGTGGCAAGTGCCACGTGAAAAGTCAAGGGTGTCCAGGCTGTTTTGCAAAAGTAGTGATTTTGAGAGGCTCATATCTCAGCAGCCGCTTGGGCGATTGTCTTGCGGTAATTTTTGTAGGGTAGCTGCATCCCTTCTACCATAGGTCAGATACTCTTGATCTATGTGAGGCACAC